AAATAAGAACAAGTCTCCAGTGTGCACCAAGGGGAGCCGAGCGGAGCGCGGCCGGGGGGCTCCTGACGGAAGGCGGAGGTGGCCGGGGGTCTCCTGGAAGAGCATCAGCCCCCCCTTCGAGAGGATGCCACCCCCCTGCAGTCACACATGCATTTCTAATCTTTTTCATTTATTTTTTTTTTTCTTTTCTTCTTCTTCCCCCAGGAAAGGAGCCTTTTCCAAACTCTCTTCCTTTTTTCTTTTCTTTTTTTAAATTTTTCTTGTGTTTTTTTTTTTTTCCCCCTGTGTTTTGTTTGTTTGGTTTTTTTGTTTTTTAAATATAAAAGTCCACGTTAAAATCTTGGAAACCTAATTTGCCAATTGCAGAGGACCATGCCCAGGAGCGACGGCGACGATGCCAAAGCGAGTTTTCAACCGAGGGGCATCCGTGCTCCCCCAACTCCTCATCCCTCGGCTCCCAACCCCCCCTCCAAGGTCTCCCCCTGCTCGCTTTTCAATCAAATGAAAAGTCCCGTCACAATTTGGCTCCTCGCTCACAGGAGAGCAGCGCGGCGCTATAAAAAATGCACTTAACACACCTCCTCTCTGCTAGGATTATTATTATTTTTTTTGTATGTGTGTGTTCCTTTTTTTTTAAAAAAAAAAAAAAAAAGAAGAAAAGAGTTAACAAAACCTTTGCTTTCCAAAGCTGGGAGACTCGATGCCACCTGATTGCATCTCTGGAGAGGCGGTAAAAAAATTATTCGCGGTAAGAGACGAGGAAAAAAAAACCAAAAAATCACCACGATGATCCCGACTGATCCTGGGGGCATCGTCACTGTTCCAAGGTCACCACTTCCACCGCCTGCCCGTCCATGGTGACGGCACTGTCCGCTATCCTCGTGGTCACGGGTGCCATCGCCACCTGAACGGGGCCGTTGCCTTGGGCCAGGCTGGTCACCACCGTCTGGTACATGCTGACGGGGATCTGGACGAGACCTGTGGAGGCAAAAAAATAATAATAAAATATAGGAGTGGGGTTGGGAGGGAAGGAGTGGAGGGAGACCAGCACGAGGGACGAGGCTGGTGTGGCCACGGGCCATGGTGTGGTCCCCAGGGGCTTGGGGGTTGTGTTGGACATAAGGAGTGCCGCTCCGGAGATGGTCCTTTGGGATCTTGGAGTACTTCCACCTGGAGCTCTGGGGCCTCAGCACAGGAGGGACACGGAGCTGTTGGAGCGGGGCCAGAGGAGGCCACGGAGATGCTGGGAGGGTTGGAGCCCCTCTGCTGGGAGGGGGGGCTGAGAGAGTTGGGGGGTTCAGCCTGGAGAAGAGAAGGCTCCAGGGAGACCTTGGAGCCCCTTCCAGTCCCTCAAGGGGCTCCAGGAAAGCTGGGGAGGGACTCTTGATGAGGGAAGGGGAGCCACAGGAGGAGGGGGAAGGGTTTGACCCTGAAAGAGGAGAGATGGAGCTGAGATCTGGGGAAGAACTTGTTTGCTGTGAGGGTGGTGAGAGCCTGGCCCAGGTTGGCCAGAGAAGCTGGGGCTGCCCCATCCCTGGAGGGGTTCAAGGCCAGGTTGGAGGGGGCTTGGAGCAACCTGATCAAGTGGAAGATGTCCCTGCCCAGGGCCAGGGGTTGGACTAGATGGCCTTTGAGTTGGACTAGGTGGCCTTTGAAGTTCTCTTTAAACCCAAACCATTCCATGATTCTATGCCCAGGGAAGACAACAATTCATGCCTCAGTGGCCTCGCCGTGCTCAACTCACCCACCACGGTGCCACCTGGCATGGCTGGTGTAATTATTCGTGCCTTGGTGGCCTCACTGTGCTTAACTCACCCACCACGGTGCCACCTGGCATGGGAGCAGGGATGGGATGGGGTAGGGTTGGGTGGCAGCATGGTGAGCTCAGCCCATACCAGGCTGCCTGGCGGCAGGGAGAGAGAATAAGGTTAAGGAGGAATGAAATAAGAACTTTTTGGAGGAGGAACCCAGAGAAGATGCCAGGATGGCACAGCAGGTACCCGTACAGCCAGCCCTGTCAGGCCATGGAGGCAGGGATTGCTCCCACGTGTCTCTCCACCACACAGCCCAGCAGTGGTCACCCACAGGTGAGGAACACACTTCTGAAACACATTTTTCTCACTTGATTTGCCCAGAGTTGGGAATCCTGGGGCTAAAGAAGGGATCAAGTCGGCTTCTCCTCCCTTCAAGTCTTCCATCCCTGGTAACTCTTTACGCCACTCAAACACCTTCCCAACTTTCACGACACGTGCAGACCACAGACCACCCATCCTGCCCACCACCCTGGTACAGCCACCAGCCACTCTCAAACACAATGCCCTTCCTCCAGATCTTTCTCTGTCCCAGTCGAGTCCTTCTGCCTTCACACCAAGACGGGTGAAGGGCAGCATGAGACTGGTGAGCCTTGGCCAAGCCATACTGGCTGTAGACCCTCACACATGTGTATCTATCACATAGAAGAGAGAGAAAACAAAGCAAACCAAGTTTTCCTCAGCCCTTCCCAACAGATGGATGGGTCCAGCAAAGTAGGAAACATCTTCCTCTCAAGGGTGGCTCAGCTACAGAAAGGGATGAGATGCCCCCTGAGCTGTAGCTGGCAAAACTTTGGGCCACCGAGGAAGGCACCGCTGTGGCCAACGCAGTGAGACAGGTAACACCAACCAGGGTGACAACAAAACAACCAGGCCCTTGAGGATATTGTGACGCGAACGGTGAAAAGAGATGGAAAAACCAGTGAGGAGCAGTGGCACTGCTTGACAGAGCCAGGCAGGGGAAGGGGAACAGCAAGATAAACTTTGTCCTTCTACTCCAACATTACCTGCCCGTACCCACCACTGCCTTTGGCTTGGTAAAACATGATTTAGACAGAACCACAGAATCACATGGGGTTGGAAGGGACCTCTGGAGATCATCTAAGTCCAACCCCCCCACCAAAGCAGGTCCACCCAGAGATTAGACAGAATCACAGAATCACATGGGGTTGGAAGGGACCCCTGGAGATCATCTAGTCCAACCCCCCAACCAAAGCAGGTCCCACTCAGAATAGGTTGCACAGGAACTTGTCCAGGTGGGTTTTGAATGTCTCCAGAGATGGAGACTCTACCACCTCTCTGGGCAGCCTCTTCCAGGGCTCTGCCACCCTCACAGCAAACAAGTTCCTCCTCATGTTTAGGTGGAACTTCTTATATTCAATTTTGTGCCCATTCCCTTTTGTCCTGTCACTGGGCACCACTGAAAAAAGAGCAGCCCCATCCTCCTGACACCCACCCTTGAAGAATTTATAGGTGTTGATCAGATCCCCCCTCAGCCTTCTCTTCTCCAGACTAAACAGACCCAAGTCCCTCAGCCTTTCCTCATTAAGGGAGATGCTCCAGGCCCCTCATCATCTTTGTAGCCATGAGCATGGGATGGCCAACACCTGAAACAGCTCTCAAAAGGGTTAAGGCGGCAGGTTCTCCATCCATGCTCTCCTGAAAAAAGCAGCGCGGGCTTCTTTTGATTCAGGTCTCGGTGGCAGAGAGCAGCTCTCTGTCCCACCAAGGGCACCCGTTTAATAACCCGGGGTGGGGGCAGAGCATGGCTTGGTGTCCTCAGATAACTCGTTGTACAGACAGGAAAGCTTACGAGTTAATCGTCCTGACCAGGTGGGTGACCCCGGCAGAGCGCAGCACGCTTCGCAGCCCTTCCCACCTCCCTCCTCTCCGCCTCTCAAAAAGCAGCTCCACGGGCAGGAATGTTCCCAGATCTCCCAGCCTGAGGGACCACCCCCACACCAAAAGGGTTTGGTAGGTCCACGTTTCATCCAGTTCCCAGCCCAAGGGAGGGATCGCTTTGCTGGTGAGATGGTTTGGCACCAAGCGCCAGGAATGGTGTGGAGTCAGGAGAAGGTAACGAAGCTCCCAAAGTGCTTTTCAAACAGACGACAGTTTTAGGCAAAAAACCACTAAAATAAGAGCTCACGCTCAGCCCTCTTAAAGAAAATCTCTGATCAGACCATACAAGGAAACGTAGCACATCCCAGTTTAAGCAGGTGCTGGCACAGACCAGGAGATCTGGCCTGGGATGCACCTAAAATCCCCGCTCCAGACCAACAACCCAACTAAGCCCTTTGGGTTACTCGGGTTTCAAGCCTAAAAGAGATTGCTGGAGCTCTCAAATGACAGTCTATTGCCCACGGCCAACCCAAAGACCAGAGTCCCCACCACCCTCACCAACCACAGAGCACACAACATTAAAAAGCTGATCCCTCCACACTGTTCAAACACACCTTGGCCAGGGTAGAGCTGCAGCTAAAGATGGGTGCTATCAGAAGATGGTGAGATGCGAAGACCTCACTGGGGTCCCTGCCCATGGCCAACCTAAAGACCAGACTTGCCACTACCCTCACGGAGCACAGAGCACACAACATTAAAAGCTTGATTCTTCCATGCTGTTCAAACCTGCCTTGGCCAGGGTAGAGCTGCAGCCAAAGATGGGTGCTATCAGAAGATGGTGAGATGCGAAGACCCAATGGGGGTCACCGCTCATGGCCAACCTAAAGACCAGAGTCCCCACTACCCTTATGGAGCACAGAGCACACAAGATTAAAAAGCTGATTCCTCCGTGCTGTTCAAACACACCTTGGCCAGGGTAGAACTGCAGCCAAAGATGGGTGCTATCAGAGATGGTGAGATGTGAAGACTTCACTGGGGTCCCTGACCATGGCCAACCTAAAGACCAGAGTCCCCACCACCCTCATGGAGCACAGAGCACACAACATTAAAAAGCTGATCCCACCACGCTGTTCAAACACACCTTGGCCAAGGTAGAGCTGCTGCCAAAGATGGGTGCTATCAGAAGATGGTGAGATGCGAAGACCTCACTGGGGTCCCTGCCCATGGCCAACCCAAAGACCAGAGCTACCAGTACCCTCACGGAGCCCAAACCACACAACATTAAAAAGCTGATCCCTCCGTGCTGTTCAAACACACCTTGGCCAGGGTAGGGCCAAGCAGCTAAAGATGGGTGCCATCAAAAGATGGTGAGATGTGAAGACTCAACCAGGGTTTTCGTTGATGAGTTTGTATCACCCAAGGTTTGGCCGCATCTTGGAGCGCGGGGATGAGCAGGGAAGTACTCCGCGAGAGACGGCACCAGGCAGATCCCTTTCTGCATGGGATTAAACTAAATCTCCTCAGCATCTGACGTAGCGGCCTTCCTGCCAGGGGTGGTAACAAACCAAAGGAGGAGAGGGCTGGAAAGTCTGCTGTGCATTAAAGCAGAGATGATCGCCCTTGGGAGAGAGACGATTAAACCACTGAGATACTGTAATCAGGTCTAGGATTGGCCCCGCGCTGCATCTGCTCAGACCTGCACCCTGATTAGCCCTAATCTAGCTGGCATATGTTAATCTAAAGCGTGGATTTCAGACCCTTTCAATTGTATTAAAAACAGGAAATCCATTAGACAAAAAAAAACCAAAAAACCAAACCCACAAACCCACCCCAACTTCTTGAGTCTTGGAAAAAATACGTATCTGCCAAGGAAGCGGAGCTGGGTCGTGGTGGCTCTGCGAGGGATGGGGGGCACAGGCAGGAGAGGGAAGAGGGATCCCATCGGATCCCACACGTGGCTCAGAGCAGCTCCTGCCCGGGGAGGAAGGACAGCAGAGGTGATGAATCACGGCACCGAGCAGCACGGACCATGGACACGGCAAGCGGGAAGACACAACCACACCGTGTGTTTGCTTCCCCTTCATGAAGCCACCCAAAAAGCCCCTCTGGAAGAAGTGGTGGATGAGGCACAAAGCCCAGGCATCTCCATCCCTCTGTGAACCACCTCTTCCTGGCCACCAAACTCACCTACCTGTCAGCACCTCCTGTCCTGGGCAGGGATGAGGAGCCAGCTCCGGCAAGGACACAAGGAGAGCATCTACACAGGGAGATGGGGCAAAGTCCTGCCTCTCACTTACCTGCAGCACGTCAGGGAAAGACTTTTTT